TGCAGAGCGGATGGCCCGCTGAAGCCTGCCCTTGTCCTTGGCTGTGGCTGCAGCGTACCAGACGGTGATGGAGGAGCAGAGGATGGACTCGATGATGGCCGTGAGGGAGGAACAAGCAGTTTTGCAGATGCCGAGGGGAGAGTGCGAGTCGGGATGGAGGGTTTGACCATGTCCTGGATGTAAGCTGGACCCGATCCATTCACAGCATGGTACATGAGCACCAATGTTTTGAACTGGATGCGGGCAGCCACCGGTAGCCAGTGAAGAGAGCGGAGGAGTGGAGTAGTGTGGGAGAATTTAGGAAGGTTAAAGACCTTCCTGAATCAGTACCTGCACTACCTTCTGAGTGAGAAGGGGACATATTCTCCTGATGTTGTAGAGCGTGTATCTACAGGATTGTTGACTGTCAAGTGTCACGCTGAGGTTCCTAGCAGTCACAGTCGGCGTTAACACAGAGTTGCCAAAGTTGACCGTCAAGTCCTGGGTAGGAGAATCTTACGTTATTTGTTTGTGTTTTAACAACGTCTCACTGATGAGCTATTGAACCGGGAAGTCTGAATCTGTGAATATCTTTACCAAACTGTAAACGTTCTATGGACACTTGCACCCACTCACTCCACCCTCATAACAAACAGGGCAGTGACATCTGACATACAGTGGACCGCTTTTAGCAGAGTCTAAATTCTCGTTGGTATTTCCGAGTCTGTGATAAATCAAACCTATGGGGAGATAAAATAAGTTCTGGTTAGTCCGGAAGAGAGTTCTCTCTTTATTCAGCAGTGTTGCCCATTTCCTCAACGAAGATAGACGCTGCAGAATCAGCGGTGGGTTTGCATGCGTGACTTTCAGTCTGGACGTGACGTGTGTCTCCTCTGTGGTCTGACTGCAGCTGGACTGCAGCAAACGCAAGGTTTCTCTGAGACTTGCTAAGGACAGTAACTGCAAAACAATACATGCTTTCATGTCAGACACCACAAAAGTCTCCAATAAAACAAGATCGCTGGATTTGTCACTGGTCGCTTTTGACAAAAAGTCACCAAGAGGGTTTGGAAAGTCAATTCACCAAACAACGAAGGGTCTTCCGGGTCATTCGATTTGGTTTTTGGTTCTTGGTTTCTCAATTGAATAACGGAAAAACAAATGATACAGCATGTATAATATGCTAATCCGTGTAAGTTTTCCTTTGAGAGGACTTGTTGTTAGTTAGCGATAAGTTCGACAAAATCTGGAGCAAAGCGTTTGACAAAATGATGAAAGTTTGGTCCCAAATTCGCTGCAAATGATTTTATGTTTCATTATTTTATGCATAGCCTTTTGAGATGTTGAATTACACTGAATTACAGCCTCTCAAGCACGTGGCACGAGATGTCATGCGCTGCAACCTTCCCAAAAGGAGGCGAAAGGTGTTTTCCCCAAATGCTCATCAGAGAAAATCAAACAGTGTGACTTTCGATCCTCGGAGGCAGATTATAGACAAGTTTCCTGAGTGAAATAAGCGGGCCGCCATTGGCCTTTCACTCTGCCAACGACTTCCGGTTGTGTCTGCAAAGCACTTCCGGTTAGCGTCTTTGGCTAGCGTGCAGAAAAAGTAAACTATGGATGGTGCTACACGCCGACACGGCTCCGGGACATATTGTGCTGTTCACGGTTGCAACAACTCGTGGCGATTGCTGAATGTTTGGTCGGAAGGAGAATGTTTCGACCATCAACCATCTACAAGTGAGTAAAATGCTATAGATTTGCACTCAAATATTAACACACGGATACATACAAACATCTTAATACAAGCATAAGATGGGCTAACGTACCTTCCAAAGCACGGCGGCTGCATGGCTACAGGTACAGCCTGCAGTCTCCACATCTCCTGTCTTGGTAACCAAAACCCAGGCGTTATGCGCTGAATTGTTAACGGACTGGCTTGGTTGAACATCGGCCGTTTTATGCCCATATCGTGTAAAAGTACACAGCCCACTTTGTCGGAATGGAGGTACTGAAACGCCTCTGAGCTTTTCAGGTTATTAATTGCATTCCCATCCACCGCAATGGAATCAATAAAATAAGAAAAGATCTTGGATGTTGTGATGCTGGGCCATATCGACATGTTGTCCGCCCATGATGTTACCTTACTTAGATGTGGAATGGTCAAAACACCATTTTTAACAAGATTTTCGGTCGAATGTTGCCATTCCAAAGCCATTTTTACACTACTACTCAGCCTGCGCCGGAAGTTCTTGGCAGAAACAGAAAGTAAAACGGAAGTGCCCGGGAAACTTGTCTATAATGAGAGGAGGGAGGGGGGCACCCCCTAAGCAAAGCAGGGGTGTTTTAGTAGTAGTAGTAGTTTTTTAGTCTAGTTTTCGTCGACGAAAACTAGACTGAAACGAAACTAGACAGGTCTATAGGGTCGGCAAACGGTTTGACTCGCGGCCACAATGGGTTGTAAAATGTGACAGGGGAGCCGGGCCAACAATAAATGGTTGAAGTGTTTGTGTGAGCTGATATAAATGACATGTGAAACATCATTACATGAAAGGATTTGGATTTTAACAAATAGCAAAGCATTTATTTTCAAGGCAATTCAACAAATTGGCAAAGGTGTAACAACTTCATGAGGACCAGGGATCTAAATGCAACTCTTTGTTGTTTTTGTCTGTTTACTCGCAATGCTTTTGACACTTCATGCTCCTTTATTGTTTCCACTGTCCCAACTAAAGAGACCTTAACGTCCTACAATCCTTGCAATACATTATTTTCTTGGCTGCATCATAAACCAGCCATTCTAAACTGGACCCCCACTTTTCATTCAAGTCTTTTCTTTCTCTTTGTTTAGTTGTTGGTTTCATGACCAGTTCTCCTCTCTTGTGTCCTGCGGGTTTTCCTCCACCTGCTCTGTGCCGCCACGTCCTTCACCTGCACTGCGCACTTCTATCAAAAGGATCCACCTGTCACGCGTGCGCGCCTCTATGTTGCTTAGTAACGAGCGTACGGTGGCCGAGACGGTTTCACACCGTCTTCTCACGATGTGGCGCGTGAACTACAGTTAGAAATGCGTGAGGCTTCAGAACCTGCAATGAGTTTATTACGTTAGACGCGTTTGTAACGGAGCGTCTCATCCAGCGAGGAAACGCTGCCTGCCGTCGCCAGAGAACAGAGCAGAAAGGTCCGACAGTCTTTAAACGGGTCTTCAGCCTGCTAACAGTCAGCTAAACCGAGACAGCTGAGCTAAACTAACGAAGCCACGTTCAAAGTTGCCGCAGCGTAAAATAGTCGTCGCTGTCCGTAGTCGGTGCACAAGAACCACCGCTGGGTTGGTGGATGACGTCATCATGACGCGTTAATATCCGGCGTACTTTGTCTGTTGTCTGTCAGTTGCGTGCAAATTTAGGGGGGGGGGAACTATTGTGACTTCGTCAACCACCAACATTTTCGTCTCGTCTCGTTAACAAAAGTTAGAATAGATTTAGTCATAGTTTTTATTTTTTAAGATCGTTTTCGTCACGTCTTAGTCTCGGAAAAAGGTCGTTAACGAACATTTTCTGTCATAGTTTTCGTCGACGAAATTAACTGTTGAGTTGCAGACCGAGCCCCTCTCTGGCTGAGAGGCAGGTTTAGGTGTGTCTCCCAGGCTGGAGGCGGAGAATTGAATGCACCAGGTGGAGATGATCTGGAGATCAGGGGGGTTGGAGGCACTCACTCACAGGACAGTGAAGAGCGAGCAGTGTGAGAAAGCGACATTGAAGAGCTTGGAAAGAGGAGACTGCAGGAATAAAGCTTGCAAAGACTGAAGAAGGAGCTGGTGAGCATTTGAGTGGTCGACTAATTATGGGATCAAATGCAAGATAAAATGTTATATATTTAATGAAATGTGTGTTTAAAAAGTATTCAAGCTAAAAGTAATTGGATCAAATTGATTCGTGTGTATTCACCAGAGTTAAAAGCTGCTAAAGTTTATAAGGTTAAAATCATCATTAAATAGTGTTTTAAAAATGTATTTAATTTGGTCTTGGGATACTTTAAATTTGGGTTGTCTTTCTACTTATTTTGAGGTTAATTGCCAGTAGATTATTAATTAAGTAAGTGTGTTGTGTTTTCTGTGGAGTTTTTAATTCATGACGTTTTGTTATTTCGTATTTACATGTGTGATTAAATGTTTACCTGCAAGAGCCATACGTATAAATGGCAGTAACATATGGAGAAACTTTGAGGTAGCAGCGCAATAGTGTAGTGTCCCTTTAAGAGAGGAGTGTGCTGTGAGGACACGTGACTGGTGTTTACTACGTGAAAAGGAAGCGCGATTCACTTAGTTGGTAACGACTTCCCACCCGGTGTGCAGCCACTTGGTAAGCTCTCTTAATTTCCAATGTTGTCTGATGTCGCCATAATATGTTGCTGCTGTGTTTACTTTCTTTAGCTTATATGTTTAAAGTATGAAACGCGGACTGGTATGTGACGTAGGTACTTCCTGGTTTGCCGTGGGGCATTTTGGGAGTTGTAGTTTCCTGCTAAGGAAAGACTGCATGCATTGTGAATGTGGTGCATAATGTGTACATGCAAATAACGAAACTGATGATGGTGGATTGTTATTATAGTATATTAATAATGTTTATTTGTATTTTTAAATGTTATTAAGATAAAGAACTGGGGAGCTGTGTTGGTTGTGGTGTGCACATGGAAATTGAAGCATTGCATTTCTTATTATTCCAGGTTTTTTACCTGGTTCCCCTTTTTAAGAAATAAACGAACAAATGAGGAATCCTGAGTAAAGTCCTATGTATGCCGGGTTGCCCTTTCCGTGGGGAGAAAACGGAACAATGTGATGTTGGCTATGTGAATTGATTATGGTTTCTTGGGTTATATTTCTTTGACCTTTTATTTGTTTGTATTTCAAGGTTTTTCACCTGGTTTGACCTGGACAATTTCCAAAATAAAAAGCAAGAAAGCAAAGCAGTCCGAATCTTGGTCATTGAGTGGAATCCAGTCTACACTTCTTAGCAAGTTGCCCTTTCAAGTGGGGAGCTGCAGTTTGAACCTCACAAAAGTGAGACACTTGACATTAACATTAAAGCAAAGTCCATGCTATTTTCTCCTGATGTCTCAGTGGCTTTATTGCTCATTAGAGCAATAAAAATACCTTGCAGTTAATGGAGCACTCATGTACGAGATTCAAGGAGCAGAGACGAAAAGGTGGAACTGTGGATGAAATGAGCCCACTGACACCGAGAAGAGAGGAAGCATAGCGTTCAAAATCAGCTCAGAATTGTGAAGCTGTAAATTTAAAATTCTGTTATTTGTTCTATTTTAGGAGTGCGAATTGTAAAAAAAGTACTTAAATTCAACTAGAGGAATGGCAAAGCAAGAGAATATTTACGTGAAAGTAAACTGTATTATGTATTGACCCAACCTCAATCAATTAAAGAGTTTGGCTGCATCAATGTTTCCCTGCAATAAAGCTATAAAATAATACAAGTTATTTTTTTAATTATGTGAGATTTCAACACAACATTTTTCTGCTGCACTGATGTGTCAGTGTTTTGTGAAGTTGATGAAGCCGACAGAAGAATCATAATGCTCCTCGTGGTGTCAGTAGGACTTCCAGAGCCTTCGCCTACGCTTTTCTTTATATCTATTTCAGTTGCTTAATTTCCTCTCTGTCCTCTTTGTACATCACGTATACATCAATTAGGATTTTAATGGCGTCTCAGTCCATTTGATGGAAGATTTACTAAAGATTTAAAAAAGGCGGCATTGTTTGTGGCTCAGTTTCATGTTGTGACAAAGTCATTCAGATAGGGTTATCATCAATAAAACCCATAATATAACCCTTTGAGATTTGAACCAACAAAAGTCACGATTGTTCATTTTCATCTCATTAAAAAAAACGAAGAAGCGTCTGGGGAAATAACAGAAAGGTTCTTTTTTTTCTTTCAGCCTCCGAGGGGAAAAGCTGGAAACAATGCCCCATGGATTGAAAGATCAGTTCCCTGTGTCCTTTTCTCTCACAACTTAAATAGATCATTCACACATATTCTGTATGCAATATCCATACATTTATCCTCAGGATGTATTGATATGCAGTTAAATGGTAAGTAGGAAGCTAAAGTCTTATCAGACTCTTGAGAGCAATCAGTTTAATGTAGATTATGTTGTATTCATTCTGTCGATGAACAATATCCAATCATGAACTTCATATTGAATGTGTGGTACGATCTAGGAAATTGGAAACGTGTGTCCTGAAACAACCATGGACTCATTCCAGCATCAGGGTCCATCTCCCTGGTCACGTCCGGGAGGCATGCTTTTGGTGGTAAAGTGGCAGGAAATGTGATGACGATGGGAATTGAATCATTGCATTTCCAACAGCTATGTGGGGTAGTTCATGAATAAGCTCAACATTGAGCACATGCTCATGAGATAAGCGTGTGGCCGGAGTCTTTTTCAATCGGCGGTCCTGCGGCAACAGCATGATGGCAGCGGTAGAAACGATGGCATGGCGAAGGTCCGGTAACCGGACGACCCGCTGTGGTTATTCTTCCTTTATTCAGGCTACTTCATTTCTGCTTGATTCCCATTTACCTTCACATGGCCTGATGACATTTTTATGCAGGTTTCCATGATTACAGAGCACAGGTCTCCTGATCAGAACCCATCAAACACGTTTGGGATGAATTGGAACGCTGACCAGACCTTACCACTGTTGACTAAATAAACGTGTTTTTTGTGTTGGTAATAATAGAATGACTTATTAAGGGGAGATAAAACGCTTTTGAACATTTCAAATTCATGAACGGAAACACAAAAACGTTTTTTTTAGCAATTTATCCAAAACGGAATATTTATTAAAATATTAGATGGAGCTGGAGGCACTTCTAATTCTCTACTCATTCTGTACCTTCATTTACTTTGCATGGCTAGTTAAATCTTGTTAAAGGAGGATGTATGGCAAAAAAACAAAAGTCACGAGTAATGATAATACACAGATTCATAGCATAATTCATTTTCTTTCCTATTCTGTTCAATTGGCAGTTGATACAATATCAGATATTCACTATGGTTGTATTACACGGTTTCATGTAAGATCATTTTCATTCTGTATCACGTTGAGTTGGACATCTTAAATTGCAATTCCTCATGTGATTGAATCACTAGATAAAATAAAATACACTTTTACACATTATCAATTTGACCCCATTTATCCTTTCAAATCTCTTTACATTGATATTTGTGTAATATATGTTTTCATAACCAAAGAACCGTACGATCCATTTAGGAACTGGAAGGAAAAAAAATAACCTTTCTTTTTCAGAAGAAGAATTTATTCAGTTCGTACTTTAGGAAGCTGGGGGGATAAATATCTGTCACAATGTGTTCTGTCATGTGAAAAAAAGAGGATGTTTTTTGCCCCACAGCGCACTGGAACAGTGAGTGGGAAGCGTCTTTGACCACATCTCCTCGTTCATTCCTTATAGGATTAAAGTGGTGTTGAAAGGGATTAAGTGGCTTGGGTAACAGTTTCCCCTCCAAAATAAATACGCAATTCCACTCAAGAACACACTGATATGCATCAAAATCCTATGATTACGACGCCAAGTGCTTACCCAAAGGTAACCTTTAGTTACCTAAATTGCTGAATTTATTTGTCATTATTGACTGTTCTGCCACCAGGTTTAATTTCCACATGTTAGACCAGCCCGGGAGAAGCGTAATGCAGTACCAGAAGTTCCCACATTGACACAACAAATTGCACAGCTGCAGATAGCCATCCTCATGTCGACGGAGGCATCTGCAAGCGGTAAGATAAAAGACGGGACTTGATCCAAAAGTTCTCCACAGAAGGATGAGCTCATGCCGGCTCTCAGCGGCGTGCGGCTCGGCGCCGTTGAGACTTCTTTTCTGACAGAAATGTGAGCCCAGCTCTGTAATCCCCTCCTTGCAAAAGGCCTCTGTCTGCTGGTTACAAACCTGCAGTTTGAACGTGTCGCCTGTGAGATGTGGATGGCTTCTGATAGTCTGAAGAGTACAGATAGCAGAGCCGCAACACGATATCGCAACGTCGGCCTCTCCATTTATTTATTCTTTGGAAATGAGAGAAATTTTAATACAGCCATTTGACGAAGTGCAGCTTGCAATGCATTGTTTAAAAACTGCTTAATTCAGAGTCCAGAGTGAATACTTCTTCTAAAATCTGTTTCTATTAACTAAATGTGTTTCATATCTGTGGGATAAAGCTTTGCAAAAAATAAAGAAAGATACTTTAAGTTTTCCTCTTTCAAAGTTTATTTTTTGTTACATTATTAAATTATAGATTAGGGCAAAGAGGACTTTACAGTCTGTACACATGCAATATCCCCTGTCCCGAGACCCTCACATCGGCACAGGAAAAACTCCACAAAAAACTCACTTCCATGGGGAAAAAAGGTACCTTAGGGAGAACGTCCGAGGAGGATCCGAATGGACAGACTACAATGGATGTCATGTGTACAGAACCCATCCATCCATTTTCCAACCACAGGGGGGCTGGAATCTATCCCAGCCAACCTCGGGTGAGAGACTGGGTACACCCTGGATTGGTCGCCAGCCAATTGCAGGGCTACACAGAGACATACAACCATTCACACTCCCATACCTATGAGCAATTTAGAGTCACCAATTAACCTGATCCCCAGAGCAGTCCAGGAGAGAACCTACGCAGACACGGTGAGAACATGCAGACTCCGACCCATGTGTACAGAATGAACAGTGTAAAAGATGTATAATACATTAAATTCCCATGACAAAAATGATTCGAATAATTGCGAGTAGCAAGCCAGGCACACGGCAGGACCACTACAGGGAGAGCCACCATCCACAGAAGCCTGTGGGGAGGGAGAGCACACATACTTTAGGAAAGGGTAATGTTGGTTTATGATGACCGTAATAGTCATATGATTAAAATAGTAATGATGATGATGATAGCAGTAGCAGGTATCAGCAGGACTACAGGAGGAGGCAGGAACAGGGTCCAGATAGAACCATGATCCATGGAAACCTGTGAGGTGAGAAAGCACAAATAATTCAGTGATGCGTATTAATTTTTAAAGAAATATCAATGGCGTTAGAAGCGGTAGCTGTATCAAAGAGGAAAGTTTTAAGCTTTATCTTAAAAGACCTCACAGAATCTGCCCCCAAGTGCTTGATATGTCGATAACTTCACGCAATAGACCTCAAACAATGTGGAAAGTATCACTTCAGAATATTCGAGAAATAGAAACTTTAAAAATTGTTATTTTTACATTACCACTTAAATCTGTGCTTTGGTTTCGTCAATGTTTGTTTTTGTTAAGGAAAGAAGTTGGATTTTTGGGGAAATTCCCGCCCCCTCTTTACATTTCACTTTAAAATGTAAACATTTTTTATCTGCATCTTTCCCATTATCTTGTTGCTTATCAGATTTTAAACCTTCGCCAGCTGTTTGAGGTCTGTGTTCCATTGGACACAACCCCCACTCCAGTAGCAGTGTTCATTACAGCCGGCCCAGAAAGGGACACATCCTGGGGGTCCAGTCCCATTAGCTACTTGTTAACAAAGGCTAAATCAGGAAGAAATACGGTGTTGCTTCACAAGGTCCCTCCCCAGTTAGCAGCCGGGGCTCAAACCGCCAACCTTGCGGTTCCCGGCACACCCTCTCTACCCATGTGCCACCATCCACCAGGCAAATGAGTTATTTCCTAAATTGGCCCAAATGAAACATGAAAGACAGACCTTAAGTATATTGACAAAGCTAGTTATATAACTACAAAAACATTGTTTCTATTTATACGTAGCGTATGGGCCGTGTGAAGCCATCGGTGGTTCACTATTTACTTCATAAGTAACCATTTGTTTTTGCACCCCGTTTGTAACATAATGAAGAACAGGTAATTGTTGCTAATTTCATCTTCAACCGTCACAAAGTGAGCTTTCCTCTTTGGTTTTAGAGAAATATAAAGACACAATGAGCATTGCATGGTGTAATGTAATAATACTCAGTGTATTATACACAAGGTAAGGATACATCTGAGAGAGCTGACTTGTTTGTGTAAACAAACCGGCCCCTCGTGACACCATCTGCAACCAACCAACCAATTTTAATAACCACATCACTCAGTAGAAGCTTATAAAAATCTCTTAATATTAACTGTACTGTTGTTAACATAGTTATATATGCAATCCTGATCATGCACATTTCCAGTGTTCAGCTGAGCATAAGTAGATCATTGGGAAACAACATGTGGAGGTAATACCAGTGTGACGGTTTGGGCAAAAACATCTTACTGGAAGACAACATTTTGATCTGCCTTTTGCAAGAGGGGGTTACGCGTAGTTTTGTAATTTGCGGGGAGAGAAGGTCTCAGTCAAGAAGGATGAGTCTCCGCAGGGTGGGGGGGTGGAGGGGATACGATGATTAAGTCGCGCCAGGAACCCGATGAATGCCACGGATGTTTTGCTCTCTCAAGTCAGGCCGAGCACCTCCGCTGACCCAGATCAAATTCATAGAAAGTCTGCCTCAGAGCTGGTTATTGATCGTGCAAAAGTGCAAGTCATCGTTATTTAAAAGCCAACAACCCGCAGTGTTTATTTCACAGCTGGCTTACCTGAGACTTGTGATAAATCAATGAGGCAGTAAATCAAACTGGCTATTTACAACCCACACAAATGTGCAGATTGGGTTGGTTCACAGATGTTTTCCAGACACCAGTCCCCCATTTTGAAAAATGGACTTGAAATTGTCAAATGCCATTTGCCCTACATGCACAAACAATGCAATACAATATTAATGGTAAAACAGACGTCCACAGAGCGGTTTTGTGAATAAGAATTAAAAATATCACTAATCACTGAAATGGCCACTATCCATCAGATAGCATTATGTTTTTTATGTTTGTGAACTACTTTAATGTATTTTATGATGTTTACAAGCAACACTTTTCTTCTTGGGAGTAAAATACTTGTTGGGTATGTATGTAGGGTGAACACTGAAGCAGATGCTTCAGACATGTGCTTTGCCCGCATGGCATGTAAACAGAGCAGGCGTTAGCGGGGATGCATTTTGGAAAAGAATCACTGATGTTGTGATACAACGTATACAACATCAGAAGAATACAACGTATGTTTGTGACCAAAAGCCCAACTAGGTTGTTCCAAAAAAAGTCAACGACTGAGGGAGGTCTTCTCAGAGTGACCAAATGCGTTCCCGGGCTGAGACCACAAAAGAAAAATCTTTCTTCTCTAAATCCTACAGTGAAAAATAAAACGCATGTATCTAATGATTTAGGACGGATTCTTGTTTGAGTTAACAGAACCATCAGTTACATTCACTTCCGATGCAGAATAAAGTGCCGCAACAGAGTAGTAATTCAGCATTGTTAAAAGGTAATCGTCTTGGTTTATATCATGTCTCTGCACTTCCTTCTCACACAGCAGTTTCATAGCTCCAGATAGTACAACAACCACGGGAGATCCCTTTCTCTTTTTTTTATAGGGTAAATTAACAACAATTATGAACCCTAATAGGGACCATAGTGTTGAGAGGCATCCCAGTTAGCGTATACAATGGGAATGTCTGTGGGAAAACTAACTGCCCAGTGGTTTCATAAGCCCATTAAAAAATTAAATCCGTTTTGACCAGCGGAGCTACTTAACAAGCCTACAAGGGCTGGCGTAATCCAGCTCGCATATAGCGCTGAGATGATTTCACAGGATAATTGGCATCATCCAAGAAATACCACAGTTAAAGGGGAAGTAAAGGGGTGTCCTTCAGCTCAACGAGCATTAAATAAAGTACTGTAAGATGTCTACTGAATTACTGGTTCCTTACGTGGTCCCTTTTTGTTTTAATCAACAGGTAATAGCAGAACTTACACAGATGTATTATATACCACTGAACGAGGCATTAGTAATACTTAATATTCTCAAATACAACATTTGCAGATATCCAGTCAGTGAGAGTTTATGGTCTTAAAGTTTTTCTCAAGAGATTCATGCTTCCTAATCATCTTCACAGATGGGGAAACTTTTTTGCCAATTTATTATTCAATGCATCTCAGGCCGAGGGAAAATGAATTCCTAACATGAAGATATTTGCAAAAGCATGAAAGGAATGTTATTTTCCCAACTATCAATGGCAGGGGAAAAAAGAAAGCTAGCCTGACATCAAAGGGCCATGTTTGTTTGCTCGGCCACTTGCAGTCACTCTGATTAGGTCCACATCAACCCCTCGTGAGATCTGTGTCGGCGTTTCATTTGTGTGATCTCGACCTTTCTTGGTTTCACTTTGATCCCTTTTTGTCTTGTGCTGTGGCCGCAATTAAATAGTAATCCAATTTGCTGGAACCAAAATCTCTTCAGGTGAACTGGAAATTATTCTAAAATTTTAGGTTTTTGTAAACTTTAGTTGTTGAATATCAGCTTTTTCTATTAGAAGTTGGTTGGTGCCTTTTGGGTATATTTTGTACAGTTTTCTGATATTAGAAAGAAAATCAGGTTCCAAGAAAACACTGAGGAGAGACAGTATTCTTTAGTCTAACATGTGGACATTTGACCAGTTGACCTGTAAATCATAGATGAGTCCTTTGACTGTTTTACTAATTACTGTACTGTCGTTTCAACGCGCTCCGTTGTCAACCCACATCGCACCAACAACAGTATCGAGCTCTATCCATAACTTTCTATTGTCTGCATATTCTGTCAGGGATGCGTGTGAGGAAGGCAGGACTCAAGCGCAGACTTCTTAAACAAAAGAGACTTTAATCGTCCAAAAGGCAAAAACAAAAGGCCAACAGGAAAAAAAGCACACAAACCAGTGGAAAAACAGCAGGCAGGAACTATGAACATCCACGACGATAGACAATAACACGACAAGTGACAGGAGACACACACAGCTTAAATACGGGAAGAAACTGTCGGTGTGGCGGGAGGTCTTAGTCCTGATGGACCTCAGCCTCCTGCCAGATGGAAGGGGCACAAACAATTTTTGTCTGGGGTGAGAGGGGTCGGCTACCATCTTTTTAGCTGCTTCAGAGACCTGGAAGCGAACAAGTCCTGCAGGGACGGCAGATTGCAGCCGATCAGCCTCTCTGCAGAGCGGAGGACACGCTGCAGCCTGCCCTTGTCCTTGGCTGTGGCTGCAGCGTACCAGACGGTGATGGAGGAGCAGAGGATGGACTCCATGATGTCCGTGTAGAAGTGGACCATCATCGCCTTTGGCAGGTTGAATTTCTTCAGCTTCAGTCTCAAGATATATGTAAATATGTATATATATATATATATATATATATATGTATATATGTATGTATATGTGTATATATATATATGTATATGTATGTATGTATATATATATATATATATATATATATATATGTACATACCATTATGTGTGGTATGTATGTATGTATGTATATGTATGTGTGTATATATGTGTATGCATATATATGTATATATATATGTATGCATTTAAGATCTAACTGTGGAACCGAACATTGGCATTAAATGCTGCATTGCTGGGGGAAATTACAGTAAACTGAGACTTCAGGCTCACGCTCGCAACGTAATCTCCTGCTGATTTTATACCTCATTTGTCTCGCAGCGGACAGAACAGTTTCTCAGATATTGAGAGATTTGTCCACGGGTTTTCGGACAGAGCTCTATGGATAATTGAAGCTCCGGGCCAGCAGTTTTTGAAAAGTATTTAAACCCCGCCCAATAAAAACATAAATACGGAAAAAAAGAATACACAATGTGAAAGAGAGGAATGGAGGGTCAGATCGCGACGCAGGATCTAGATTGCCTGCTGCTCTCCAGTCGGTTGGCCTTCTGGCTGAAGGTATTTCCTGAGATTGCACAGGGAGCGTATAATGGTTGGCTCTGTCCCATCGCGACCTGGGGACAATGTCTGGAGTCTAAGGAACAACAATGAACATGCAATCTGTAAATTGCCCTTCAGTGGTGCAGTGGATCTTAGCACAAAACCAGCAAATAGAATGTACAGGGCTTATTAAGAGTTGGGAACACTTTACTGTGGTCCCTTGTGGTCTTACCAAAATATAACTTTGATAGCCGAGCAAATTTAACATTTTAAAACACTAAAAGCCTTTCTCTGCTGTAACTGAAACTATTCAAATATAGTAATGCTTTAATATGCTCTATTTGCTGTGGGACAAATGTTTATGAAATGCATTAAAATGGTTATTTGTGTAATAAAAACCAAGTCTGTTTAAAGAACGATCTAATAAGCCACAAATGTCAAGTTTTATTCCCATCATATGAAACTTAGACTAAGATAGACTTTTCCATTCCTATTTCTCTTTGCTCCAATCACGCTAGTGTGTGTGTGTGTGTGTGTGTCTCTCAGTTCAATTGGAAGAGTTACTAACCTAGGTGAAACACTGAATACATGCATATTACACAGATGTCCTTCCATGCTTTTACAATCTATAATTTTGTCATGCTGTCATTTTACTGTGTTATGGCATTGCATATCTGTCTGTCCTGGAAGAGAAAGGATTATTTCGGTCCGTTAAGTTACTTCTCTTTACTTGCCAACCTAATCAGGATCAGGGGCCTCATTTATAAAACCTTGTGTAGGATTTACGCCAGAAGTGGCGTACGGATGAAACATAGGACGTGCGTACGCACAGAAATATTCAGACTTATAAAACCGTGCGCATGCATGTCCTACGCAGTTTTCCCTTAATAAATCACAATCACTTCTAAATGCAGCGCAGCTTTTGCGGCTCCATGTCACGCCCATAGTTGCCCATATATAGTCTGTGGAACGCCCACAAATTAATATTCATCGATTGGGAAATCATGACAAACACTGAGAGGAAAAAAGAAGAAACGTAACTTCACTCAGTGTGAAGTGGAAATGATCATTGCGAGGTGGAAAGGAGACATCTAATGCTCTTTGGAGGGCACAGTGTGGGCATTACTGCCAAAAAGGCACCTGAGTGGCAAAAGGTTGCAGAGCAACGCTGCAGCCTCACAACCTCGGACCGGCCGAAATAAAGAAAAAATGGTCTGACATCAAAGTGGATGCAAAAAAGCGTTTAGCGCGACATCGCCAAAGTGTGTCTTCCCCAGGTGGGGGAAAGGGACACCGGAGCTGTCCCCTCTTGATGAGAGACTGTCGGCAATGATTGCACTGTAAACCCGAACGTCCAAAGTAATTAAATAGATTAAGTAGTGTATACTCAAATTTTTGAAAAAGTTCTACTAACTTAATTATGTCATGTTGGTGTAACATGTTCTTTTTTTTGAGTAATTTTAACTAATACTTTTTGATTTAATGGAACTATTTAACAATAACTTAAAAATATAACTTAAGTACAACTTAATAGAATTAAGAAATGTCATACTAAGAATGATAAAGTCCTGTTATTTCTATTTTTTCAAATACGGATGATTTAAAAATAAACCTAATTCATATAGCACATGCTAAAATACAATCATATCTCACAAAGTGCTTCACCAAATAAGTAACATCGATCATTAAAAAATACATTTCAATCATAGCTTATTAAAACAGTAACAATTTGATTGCGGCAAATGGTCTGAAATGCATTAGACATTAATGGAAGAAAAAATGTATTTATTTTTATTGTCATCAGTTTAATGTAGCCTATGTATTCATTTTGCTTGCAGGGATCATTTTAAAGCTCAAACTGACTTCCTACACTAGTCCATGTTCTCTGGAAGCTCGTTTTAAATTCTGAGCAGTGAGCACGCTGTAAAATGTGCTTTTACTTGTTTGTTATTTTAGGATATTATTCTGTCAGTATAACAAAGTATTCAAGTTGTCATGATAACACAACATTACTAGTTAGTAACATATCTACGACAAATAAAACGCTAATCTGAAAATTAATTCAATTGAATTAACACGCTAGTAGTGTATTTTAAGTCAACTTGATTAAGGAAGTAGTCGCGACCGTTATCAAAGTGCATTATGGGGTTGGCGGGCGAAGTTGACTTCCTTTCCGTCCTTGAGCCTTTTCGGACCAGGCTTCGGTAGCGTCATCGGCTCAGACTGTTTTCAAGGTGAGTGAAATCATAGGTGTTTATATATATGTATATATATATAAGTTGATATATGTAATGTGTGAAGTTAAATTATGTTACAATCAGCCAGTTGCCAATCCTCAAACGTAAAACAATTTAATTTAAATAATTTTCCAGACTTTGTCGTACGAGTGACATTACTAACGTTAGTTACTTCTGCTCCATTCACTGGGACTTTAGTCTTTTCTGCCTGTGTGCTTCTACTTCAGCGGTTGCTGGTTTGAACTCGCTAACGTACGTGCTAACGCACTTTAGCTAACGAGCATACTACGCTAACTAACGTTACTTGATTGTGCATCTCGGACCAGCCGAGGAGCAAGCGGGATAGTATTCCACTTGCTAGCTAGATTGTTCAACTGAGAAAAGGGCGGCTAACGAACCTGCGCTAGCTAACGTTACTTGACTGTGCATCTCGGACCAGCCGAGGAGCACGGGGATAGTATTCCACTAGCTAGCTACCTTGTTCAACTGAGAAAAGGGCGGCTAATGAACCTGCGCTAGCTAACATAAGTTCACGGTGCATGCTTGAAACCGCGATTGTCTTTTCAGTCAAACAATCTAGTTCGCTAGTTAAGTAAAAAAACGGGCTCCCGTGCTTCTCGGCTGGTCCAGGAGCAGCGCCAGGTGTTTCTGCATCAAGCTTGTCGTGACTCGCAGTTCTGTGGCATTTCTATTAATTTTTTGCAAGTCATTCTGTTCATTCATTTTTGTGTAAAGCTGGAACTTTCCATCTATAAACGTTGTATAAAACTAATTGAAAACATGTAATTTTAAGGCAGTGTTAGCTGTAGTCATTGATCATGTTTTGGTAAGCTACTAGTAACTAACTTGTTGTTATATTAAGTATAAGCAATTCCGTTTTTAAAGTTTTAGATCGTGGTCTAAACTTTGTCATTTCTTTTCTTTGCCTTTTAGGTTGCTGGTTCCAAAATGATCTGGAAGTGTAAGTTGTGCGCAGCTTCTTTCACCTCCAGAATACAGTTATTTAGACACTATAGGCTGCAGCACAGCCACTATTCCAGAATCAGCCCTCTTCCATGCCTCTACACTGATTGCATTTGCACCTTTCTGACACTTAATGCACTGAGTACTCATTTGTCAAGATATCACACAGCACAACCTAGCAGTTGTACAGAGCAGAGTCAGGGGCCTGTGTTATTTAAATGCCCTTCATGCACATTTCAGCAACCCTTTTCTAATTCAGCAGTTTTCAGTCATCTCAGAAAGCATCTGAAAAATCGTGAAAAAGTGACGTGCCCATATAAGGATTGTAGCTATAGCACAAATGTGTACTCCTCGTTCAATTCGCATAAAAGTAGAGCACACCAAGCAGATCTTGCATCTGAGTTTCAAACTGATATTGTCAGTGAGGATCCCCATAGTCTTCAAGCCAGTGTTTCTGAGGAAACTAGTGATTTGCATGAAGAATGCCCAGGCCAAAGCAGAGAAGTGGAGAATGGTGATCAGTGTGACACTGGCAGTCTAAGAAATCAACTTAAAAGAAATGTATCTTCCTTATTCCTAAAGATGCAGGCTATCCTCCATGTCTCTAACACAGCTACTCAGGAAATAGTAGACCAATTGAATCAGATTTTCTTCTTATCTGAGCCGTTGATCAAAGAGGCAGTTAATGACGTACTGCAAAGAAATGGTCACCGTATTGCAGAATCTACATTGAGTGAAGTTGTTGCCGCTGTCATGGACTGCAATGTTCTCTCTACATCAACCTCTAAAGGTGCCGAGTTGAGTTCATCCAAGCGCAGAAAAACCTTTATTGAGCACAACTATCCTTATGTAATGCCAGTGGAGTATCAGTTGGAGCAACCTGGACACACCAGCATGTATGTTCCTATCCTTTCAATGATTCAAGAGTTGTTTAAAAACACAGACATTCTTAACAAGATTACTGAAACAACTACTGCATCTGGTCAATATGTATCATGCTCCAATGGCTCTCATTTCCTTGAAAATGAGTTGCTGTCAACAGGGGATCTCGTCCTACCACTCCAGCTATATACTGATGATCTGGAAATTTGCAATCCGCTTGGCACATCGCGCAAAATTCACAAATTTTGCGCTGTATATTGGGTCCTTGCTAATGTGCCACCAAAATACAGATCAGCATTACATGTTATACAGCTAGCAACACTGGTAAAAGTGACAGACCTCCGTAAGTATGGATATGCAGCTGTACTTGCTCCATTGCTGCGAGATCTTCATACTCTGGAAAAAGACGGTGTCTTCATTGAAAGAGTTGGTCAGAATGTCAGAGGCACTGTCTTTTGTGTTTCTGCTGACAATTTGGCTGCTCATGGATTAGGTGGCTTTGTAGAGTCATTTAGAGCAGGCCATGTTTGCAGATTCTGTATGGGCTCAGTTGAACAGTTTCAAGTAACTGAAGTCAGAGAGAGAAAGATTCCTCAGAGAACCAAAACCAGCCATGACCAACATGTGCAAACTGTTCAAGAAAGTGACACTTTGCGCGTCCACTTTGGTGTTAAAGGTGGCTGTGTCTTGCGGGAGTCCCTCAATTACTTCCATACTATCACAGGGTTTCCTCCTGATATACTCCATGATCTTCTGGAAGGTATCGTTCCCATGGAGCTTTCTCTTTGTGTTAAAGAGATGATCCGCCTGAAGTACTTCACTTTGGAGTATTTGAACAACAAGATTACATCATTCCCATATCAACACACTGATAAAGTGGATAGACCTCAGCCACTTCCCAAAACGTTTCTTTCTCGAGGAATGATTGGAGGTAATGGACATGAGAATGCCACTCTGCTCCGACTTCTTCCATTGCTTGTTGGCAGTGTAGTACCTGAGGGTGATGGGGCATGGGCAGTTTTGATGGAGTTGAAAGAGGTGGTAGAGTTAGCATTGTGTCCATCATTTACTGATGAAACCGTAGACTATTTTGTGTGCAAAATCAGTGATCATAGACAGGCATTGCTAGAGGTTTTCCCTGAGGTTAGGCTCCGTCCTAAACATCATTATGTGGAGCATTATCCTGCTCTAATCAAGTGCTTTGGTCCCCTGCTGCACGTTTGGACTATGCGGTTTGAGGCCAAGCATCGCTTTTTCAAAAGAGTGGTGCATGATGCGCAAAACTTCAAAAATATTTTGAAGACAATGGCAATCAGACACCAACACATGATGGCATATCATCTTTCTGCACCATCATTTTTCAAGCCAAGAACTCAGGCATCCAGGGTTGACTCTGTTCTGGTTTCAGCTTTACCAGAGGTTGCTCAAGTACACATTAGAGAACAAACAACTAGTGACACAATCTACAAGACATCAAATGTGACCATTGATGGCACAGACTATGTCTGTGGAATGTTTCTGTCTGTAGGAGTCAGTGGTGGACTGTCTAAATTTAGCAAAATAGAACAGATCTTCCTTGTGAATTACAACATATCTTTTCTGTGTTGTGATTATGACTCATGGTATGTAGAACATACACGGTCCTATGAGCTGTCAACTGCACACACAAGCCAGTCGATCCACCTGCACTCTGGTCTGAATGATACAGTCCCTCTCTCAGCATACAGGATAGACGGCTCACTCCTGCTGACCCCCAAGCGGTTCATCCAAGTGAGACAGAACTGAGTTCAGGTAATAATGAATGTTTTATTTATTGATCAGTTATTGTGTCTTTATTCACTCTGTTGAATTAAGCAATTTATAAACTGTATATACTATAGGCGGTATTCTTCAAAACTTGATTTTGTCTTTTCCCTAGCACAATGGCGGCTGCATCCCCACAACCAATGATTCTTCGTGTTGTTGAGCCAGACCAGGCTAGAAAATTAAAACTCAGCTCACGACCAGCCTCTGTTGATGCACTGATCAACATTATAAAAGAAAAGCTGGAAATCAACCTTGACTTCGATTTGCTTTACGAAGATCCAGACTTTGAAGGGAAACTTACTTCCCTTGCCGACATAGAGGAATTACCACAAAAGGCTGTTGTGCACATCTCACTTTCACAAGACTCCAGCTCTGTTGCATCTACTATTCAACTTTCAGATGTGTCATCTCCTGAGCGTCTCAGCAGGTGGCCTCCAGGTCCTTTTCCTGTTCCCACATTTTCATTTGACGTTGAACTGAAACTTCGAGACGGAAATGCGGAATATGAGAAGAACAACACGCATCTTAAATTGACAAGAGGCCTAAAGCACGACATTTTAGAAAAGCTTGCTTCGGCTATATATGGTTTTAAGGCTTACCCGAGTGACAAAGAGATTGCAAAGGCTGCTGAGGCTCTTGTAGCCAAACATCCCTGCTTGAAGGAAGCAGGATCTGAGACTGGATGGAATGGCTGGAAGAACAGCATAAAGTTTAAGATGGGCAATTACAGGAACAAGATGAGACGGGCTGGATGTCAGGAGGTCACTGTTAATGCTGGAAAAAGAAGTAGAAGTAATCCTGAAAATGAATCTTCACATTCCAACATTAAAAGACCCAAGCGAGCCGAAGTCAACTTCCTACCCAACTTTCCCCAAGGAAAGGATCCTTCCATCCTTGAGCAGTTGAGGCAGACAATTGTTGAAGAAGTCGCGAAGACTGAGAAGAGCCTGCCCCTGATTAGAAAGATGATGGAGACCACATTTCCCCTACGCCGACAGACTATAGTGATGTCCTGCCCACCAGTGAACGAGCTCATGAACCTCTGGCCTGCTCTCAAAATAGAGAATGAGGTAATATGGATCAGCTCTCTTAAGTGAAAATTATTGTGATTCTTACTCATTTGGCCCCTACTCTAGTGTGCTAGAGTCTTCAAATGTTACAGTTTTTGTATAAGTGTTGCTGTATTCTCATCCTACTGTTATTTCAATGTAGTTGTATGCAGAGTTCCAGCGGATTACGAATCAGAACCTTCCCAACACATTCTATGCTGAGCTTGACCGCCATCTTCCTCGACTGATGACCTTATTTAGACAGAAGGCATCAAAAACTGGGAAGACAGCAGATGCTCTAGTTAAAATTTTAAAAATCCACGATGAACAGGTAAATAAATTATTACACACTTCATAGGTTCAATGACTCATGAGTTTTGTGTATTTTGCAATTAGTCCACTTTGTGCCATTTGTTTGATTGCATTAATAATGTGAATAGATTATTTGTGGACATATATTCTGTTTGGACTGTTTAAAATCAGTAGGTACAATTCTGTTTTTATCTGAATAGGAAATCCATGACATCCACACCAAGCGCACTACTGTTCTCCACGCCCTTCCTGTGTATCTGTGCGAGGATGCTTCTGGATTTTTCAGAACCTGCACAGTGAGTCTCCTTAAGTCACTAACAAAGTTTATCAAAAATACTATTATCTTTTAGGACTTTTTTGTTTAGTACAGTTTGTGTATGATCTGTTTTCTTTCTCTTCACTACAAAGGAACTGTATTGGCAAGTGATAAGACGTTCAGTAAAACCTGTTCCTGTAAATGTCCTTTTAACTTGGTTTCAGTCTCTCACACCACTTAGATTCTGTGGTAATTTGGCAGATTTGTGTGTGCAGAATATGGATCTTATGCTTTTCACCTCTTGAAATAAGACCCAGATCTCCCTTGTAAAAGGGGTAAAGGTCGTCAATGGGACTTGGTTAAAGGAAGATACATTATATGTAATCTGTTCTGTTCCATGTGTTAGTTTGTGATTAGTATCTCTTTTTCATTCATTCAGGACAAGTCTGATGAGCCAGAGCTTGACGGTGTTGCAGTGGGCCTCCTTACTGTCATCAGTGACCATGACACAAGTCCAGTTCACTACAACCCTGTGAGAATCTCTGTCATCATTGAAAGTGATGCCATGGTCAGCCTCCCCCGACTTGGCGATGCCTTCCTGGTAATCTTTGGACTGATCTATGCACTACACCTCAGCTACCCCAAAGCACTGACCAACACTTTTGAATTCACTGAAAAGATTCTACTTGGTCTAGAAAGTGGTAAACTGTCACCCAAGTTGCAGACCCTCAAGAATGACTTGATGCAGAAACTCATCTGAAAGAAGGCTGCAGGGAAAGCTTTATAAAAGGCTAGTTCAAAGTTTAAGGGGAAATGTTCTATAGAGTTTTTGTAATTTCATCCAAATTGCTGCCCTGTTGCCTTATGCATGCATTTTGCATGTAATCTTGTCGCGCAAATAATTTGCGTCACGTTTGGTGTGACCACGGCATTACTCAGGAATTAGCCAAAAGCACAGTTTTCTTTTTTAGCTGTAACGAAAAATAATTTAATTTTGGTATTATTTATTTGTTTTGATTACTTTGATTACAATTTATTTGAGATCTTTACATTGAACAGAGCAGTGCATATGTCTCTGTTGATTTTATAAATGTTGATTCATTTTTCTATTTCATTTTAATACCGCTGTGTGCTAAAAGGGAGTGGGTAAGAAAATATGGTTCAATAGCAAGTGTTCATGAGTTTGTTGAACTCAATGTATTTGAGGCAATCGATTGCCTCAAAAATCTTAAGTTTCGAGTGACATGTTTTTAAGTAAACACATGCAACATTTTTGACTAATGTGTACTTAAAACAATGACAACACAAACTAATAAAAATTGAGTTTGGTTAACATGAAATGGTGTGGTTGTGTACTTATTTTTTTAAGTTCTGTGAACTTATTCGTATTAGTTTGAAAGCTGGACATTTTAAGTAAAAATAACTGAAAATAATTGAGTTGCCTTAACAGAAAACTGTAAGTCATATTAACTGCAAATATTTGAGTTGAGCTAAATGGAACACTTTAATTAAACTGTTATCAAAAGTTACAAGTATAAAGTAATCCAACCTTTTAAGTTCTGGAAAATGTTGACTTTTAAGTTGATCAACTCAAAAAGATTGAGGCAATCGATTGCCTCAATTTTTTTGAGTTCTGGTAACTTATTCGGGTTTACAGTGTGGGGATCGGGGACAGGGTCTGGGCCAACATCGGCGTCAGGGGGTCGAGGCACGTTTGGAAGCTGTGCCACATTATGCAGCACAGCACCAGGGCTGTAGTGGAGGGTAAACGCCGTTTACGCACCTCTAGAATTTTGGAAATAGCGTTTACGCACCTCAAAGCTCCCTGCGCCTTGTATTCTTCCGTTGGAATAATCCGAAATAAACTTGGTGTAATTTTGAAACAGCGAAGAGTACGTTTCCTATTGTTGAACATATAAACGCCGTGGTCTGAATCATGTTCATCTGCGCTGTATTACGGTCTGTGACCATCCAATCAGTGCCTTGCGGCTGCAGCAGCGACGCCAATCAGGATCCAGGAGGTGTGCATCAGCCATTGCATTTACCTCACGGAACGGTTTCATGTCAGACAATATTTCGTGGACCGGTCGAGAATGTCCGACTGGGGGGGGGAGGTAGTAGTCGTTGCGGGCGGAACGACCAACGGGGGGTAGTAGTCGCGCGCTCTGTGTTCGCTGGTCCTGCATGGTAAAAGGACAAGAAAAACGCCTGGTGACGCGTAGATTAGAAAACAAGTCAGTTTTCAATGTGAAAAAAAACATGCTGTATAGGCTATTTATGATGACATACACACTCATGTTCCAAGTACATGAGTGTTCCTTTAACTCATGTTGTCAGTGTAATTGACAGGCTGCTTAACTGGTTAACTCTTAAATTCAACATATTTTTTCAGGCAGTGAGAGGACAGGCAATGATGCAGAGAGCACAGGGAGAGGAGAAACACCAGGTCCAATAGAGAGAGGAGAAGCACAGAGGAGCCATGGCTCATGGTTCATGGCTCCTCTGTGCAAGGCAGGACCTGACGTGGAGGACAAGGAAGCCCTCTGGGCACGACTGTAAAAAGGAGACTCCATATGTAGATAGTTCTTAATCTGCAATTGTGTTGTTGTGTTGTGTTGACATACTTTTCTTTACTGTTTTCTTAAATTTTATAAACTACTAACACATGTATTCATTGTCATTGATTGTATGTGACTTTTACTGATAACATAATGCAATATAGCCAGGACAGCCTTACAGAGTCGCGACGCTTTGTGTTGCGTTGCTTCGCATCGCGTCAAGGTCTGTATGATCACAAAATTCAAAAACTACAGCACTGCACAGCACATGCAGCACGATGTTGCACACCTTTTCAGGAGTAAACAATAACCTCCCTCCAGTGCAGTCATCTGCCCTTAAACAGGCCGATGGTGCGCTGCACTACAGCGCCAATCCTTCCATGTGCCACATCTTCTAAGAGCGCAAGATCAGCCATTTCGCGTCATTACGCATTGTGACGGCAACACGGCGTTTTATTACCGTCCGTTTGATTGCATCGGACAAGCAACAGCTGTGTTTTGAGGATGAATTGCATAACATGCCGATATTATTGCAGAACATATTATTTCACTTTTCTTTTTGAAAATGTGTTCATTTGTATGTTTGTTTTACGCTGCAGATCGATCAAACGGGTGTTCGTGTTATTTATGAGAGGCAGTATTGGCATTTCTTTCAGTCAGTTTTACACTTTCACACACGTTGTGCGTGTTTCTTGCATTTGCAGACGGTTCTCATTTCACCTGTTTTTGTGTGTACGCATGGGTCCGAGCTTGCGTGAAGGACCGCACCTTTTCCCGTCAAGTTTTGCTTTTTATAAATACCAATTATTGCGTAGAGAGCGGCGTACGCCTTCTTTTGTGCGTACGCAACCTTTATAAATGAGGCCCCAGCAAGCAGGAAACATTTATCGCCATAATATGTCAGTGTTACGTCCTTTAGCTAGGGGTAGACAGACATAAACCCAGATGTAATTGGTATTTGTAAAGGATATTTATTTGGAATTGGGCAGAACTGAACAGAGTTTACAAAAAGAGAATGGGCCACTGGGTGCTGTGGAACTCAAAAACAGAATACCACAAAAGGAGATCATCAATCAATCAATCATCATTAAGGAAGATTGTCCTTGTCTATATAAGAAAACAAAAGGTTAAACAAAAAAATTCCTCACTAACTTAATTATTTAATAACCGAAGGTATAATACTCACAGCACCCCTGAACCTAATGGGACTAGACAAGAAAAATGTGTTAAGTGCAACAGGTGGTATCAGTATTTTTTTAACTTATTCCTGGGCCCACTTTCTCACCCTCCAACCTGCTCTTCCACAATCTGGTCTGACAGCCGCCCTCAGCTGCGATCCGTCAGGCCATTTGAGCTGGCGGGAACAGCAATGGCGATCCTCCAATTGGCCGGGACTTCTGGGCGGGCCTTCTCTTGTTCCTCTAATCATGAGTGGGGGATGTCACAGCCTGTTTTGCATATCTCTAATTACCACATACAGAAGCTGTAACAGTCAGACATGCAAGCAATTTGACTTGGCGGTTGGTGCGTAGCAGTAGACAGTACGACAAGACAACAGTGCACGAGTAATAAAATAAAATATAATGCTATGGGTTAGTTTAAAATAAAAGTTAAAGTAAAAAATAGTGCATTAGCGAACAGGAAGTGAAAAAAGTGACGAGTGAAAAGTGAAGTGTGCAGAATGAAAGAAAGTGACGATGGAATGTCAGAGTGCATGATGGAACACCGCTGTCCTCACAGAAGCCGATGTAAGAAGTTACAGCCTCTGTGAACTCATCCAGACTGTTAGTAGCAGTCCTGAAAACATCCCAGTCTGTGCAGTCAAAGCACGTCCGAAGATCCTCCAGCGCCTCATGCTATATCAATGCTAGAAAAGCAGCTTCTCCTCACTTGTTTTTTTTCTGAAAAACTACAGGCATTACCTAAGCATGTGTACCTGAACTGCAAGTGAGTGAGAGGGGAGCGTGCTAAATGGGCAAAGAAGGCTTAAGCTGCTTTGCGGCACTTGTGCAATAAATTCTTGTTTCTGAGAAGTCCTTTTTGGATGTTTGATGACATGCTGACATGCTGCTGTGTTTGTGGGGGGTTATGTGATGAACTATGGCTGTGGGCAGGAACAAATGGATCCTTTACATCAGCAGAGAACCCAGGGAAGAAAGCATTTAAACAAAAAAACATTCCTATATGTATGGTATCTAAACGTTATGGAGTAACGTTAATGTTGATGTTTCACAGGAGGCAATCATCCAAAATACAGGGCCATTAAGATCTGTAGCTTTAAGATCGACGTCACATGTGGCTGAAGCACGCACACAGTGATAAAAACGCCCTCATCAAAATTCTAAATCAAAGGCTGTAATAAGACCTTTATGACAGTTTGATAGCTGCTTCTTAAATTCAGAATTACATCACAGCAAGCCTCAGCAGTAACTGCAGATACAATCTTTCATTAAATACAATGCCAGTCCCCTCTCTGCTGTTCATCAAAGGCTCTGTCAACGGCTAATCCACCATTATAGACATCATATGAGGCCTGATAACTTGTCACAAGCCATTCCCACTTGTGTGTAGGAGGGCCCTGAAAGGACATCTGATAGTGCCCCAAACAGAGGTCCAAGAACAGCAAAGGTCTTCTGTGTTGTGCACAAGACATTTGGTGGAAAAACAAGGCGTAGAGCGTCAACTTCCTTTTCTCTTCTTCAATTAAATTGTCAACTATCATTTCAGACTGGAGGGAGGGAGGACAATAATTAGGGCTAGATTTACAGCTGTGGATCCATCCAATGTTATTTCGCCCCGGGGTTAACCTTGGTGATATCAAAGAAAAGCCAAATGAAATGCCTCCAAATGGCACACAATGAATCAAAGTGGGATAAGTGCTAACAGTATTACTTCAAGGAATTTGTCCGCTAACTGATGTTCCGCTGCAAGCAGGTAACCTTTGTGTTTCTCTCGCCGGTCATGAATACACAGTGTAAACCATATTTACATACGTATAATAAGCGTTTCATCATCATCATTTATTCATTATTGTTGCCATGTTTTTGTTACTGCGGTGGTCAGTGGTTCTAAGAGCAAGACCCTTTTGTATTTTAACTTTTTGGCTGGATCAGGGAGATGAGTGGCTTCGGCCGATCGATGAAATGCATGTACGGATTTACAGTAGTCTTTCACTAAATACATATTTGATGTACAGCATCACTGGGCTCTGCGTGTTCCTGGCAAGATGTCATTGCTGTGACCTTTAGCTCTAACAGCTTTACATTTTGATATCATATACACTTTTTTCGATTTTTTATTTGTTGTTGTGTACTTTTGGACGACACAAGCAACTATGCACTTGCAACGACAGCATCAGTCATTTTTTGCTGCAGACGTTATTGTGAAGAGTAAAACTATCACTCAAAACTCGTTCACGCTTCTGTATTAACGGGCATCGGTCCCTGCTGAAGTGTCCTTGAGCAGATTCAGATTCCCTCCTGGCTCCAGAGAGGCTGCTCTGACCTCTGACCTCCCCTGTGAAGGGAAGCATCAGATAGGAGGATTTTCTTAGGTTGGGTTGAGAGCCAAAGACCAAAGAGCCTCGGGGGATGCTCTGAACCATCTGAATACCAAATAGCCGAAACGCAGAGCAAGGACGTACAGCCCGAAAAGCCCTTCCAATGTGCTGGAGACCTATTTATCGGCCTTAGAGTTATGGATGAGATGAGACAGGCGAAACTCAATTGACTTCACTCACATGAGACCAGCTACGTGTACAGGTGTTCTCTGTGCTTGCGGCA